TGCCTAGTCTTACAGCTGAATGTGCAGATTGAATTGTTGGAGTTGACTCTGAGGAAGCTGATTGCTTACAATAGCGAGCGGAAATCGAAGTACACCCGTTGTCACGGCCCTGTCTGGCGGCCCTGTGAGCAGTGGGAGTTCGAGGAGTTAAATGCGCTTCCTCTAATTTACGGACACGTTTATGAAGCAGTCGTTTTGAGCCCACTTGCAATGCCTATTGGATCTATATGGCGTTCTATAATGGAGGCAACTAACAGCGAATATTTAATATATAATAGTGCCACCACTTTGTCTTCAGTGGTTCGTGTGGAAGGACTGTTCTGGTGCACGGAAAAAAGCGCAAAAAAGGTAAGAGGCTTCTACAACTCCATTTATTTATTTATTTGAAACCATTGAATTTGCAATAAAAATCAAGTAAGCATTCTGGCTGAATTGAGTTTAATAATAAAAATATTTTGCTTTATGTCTTAATGTTGTAACATAAATGGCGGGCCATTGCCTGCCGAGGGACGCCCGCTGTTAGACTTTTTTTAATTTTAGATGTTGCTCGGACCAGGAATTGAACTCAGGTCCGCCGGAGTGGTAGTACGCACCTCTAACCACTCGGCTCATGTACATATTTAAATGTGCATGACGCAGAATATTTGGGAGAGCTGAATTGTGTTCAATGGAGCTGAATAGCGGTTTTGCATTGGTTGTGTTCACAAACTGAGATAATAAGAGCATAATTCTATCAAATATTCGTTCCGCTGAAAATCCAAGTTAGCTGAATTAAATTAAATAGGACTGAATGCCTTTATAAAGTTGGTTGTATTCAAGAACTGATCGCTTAAATGTATAACAAAATTGAATATGCATTATGCTAAAATTAATGTTAATAGATTTGTAAAATTGAATGCCATTTAGTGTGTTTGTTAACTGAATGGTAGCAATCTGCGTAGCATTTCGAAGATGGTTGTGACCGCCAACTGACCTGTTAAATAACTAGTAAACCAAAAATTAATTGTGCTAGAGATTCAAGTTAGCTGAATTGAGTTGAATACACTTGAAGTGTAATTTTCGTAGTATGCGAAAGTTTATTTAAATTTTACACTCATAAGGGGAGCTGAATAAAGTTTTTTTGCGAACAATACATTTCTTAACATTAAGATAAATCTGAAAAACACTGAAAATCAACTTAAATACTTGTTGGATTTCATTTACTATAGCTGAATGAAGTTTTTTTTTTTTTTGAATCAAAGGTTTGTAAAATTTTCTACATTGAAATGAATTATCATTATTTTAACACAGAGGAGTGCTGTTTAGGTAGCTGAATTGAAGTTTTTGCGATACCCGCATGCCTGCACATCAAATTAAAGCCCGAGAGCTGCATTTGGTGTAGCCGACTCGATAACGCAGATATAAATTTTAATTATGCATATAGTATTTAGAAGAAAAAATATTTAAAATAGTTAACTAATAAATTTTTTTGTTGTTATATGCTTAATATCTTCATGTCTGAATGGCAAAAAATCTAAAGCGAGTATATCAAATCTTTTCACTTTACTGAGCTGAATACATACATTTACACAATACTCAATACAATTAACTTGATTGAGCTAGTAGCGACCAAGTTAAGAACATGAATCAAGTTTTAGTTGAGCTGAATATGGCTGAACGTGCTGAATTGCGTACATATTTAGCTAAATGAGAGCTTTCGATAAATGTGCATAGACAAATACAAAGACTTTATAAAATACTGACAATATACTAAAAAACTAGCTGATTTTCATTTGATGTAGCTGAAAAATTGTTTTGCAGTACATATAGGTTTGTAAAATTTGGTAAAATTTTAGGAGACAGCTAAATTATTGAAACAAAAGCTGAATTAGGTAAATTAAATTTACAGTGCTCAATATTTTCAATAAGTTCAAGTGGGCTTAATATAGAAAGTAAGCGCTGAATTATAAAAAATTGGTATATATTACGTACAAAGTAAAATAATTGTTTTTTTTCTAATTCTGCTTTTATTTTTCCTTTTCAAGTTGCAGTAAGCTAAATGTGGAAATTAATAGGCATTACTTAAAACATTGTGCCTTTACTAAAAAATAAAAGTAAAAAGTCCAATTCAGCACTTCCTTTCCGCATACAGCTTACTTAGTAAACTAAATTAACAAGCATTTTTCTAATTCAGCTCTACCTTTCCGTATTCAGCTCACTTTTGTTTACTAGTAGCAGTAAAGCAGACACAGCGCGCGTTTTTGTGGTAAGGTTAAATATATTTTTACAAATTCAGCTCTTTCTTTCTGTATTCAGCTTACTTAGAAGGCAAAGTAAAACGAAATTTTTGAAATCCACCTTTTAATTTCTGTATTCAGCTCACTTTTATTTATTTAAGCTAAACAATTAAGTGTTTTTATCAAATTAAAGCACAATAATTTTTTCTTCAGCTCTTACTTTCCGTATTTAGCTCACTCCTAATTATACAAAAACATGGAATGACTTGTAAAAAATTACTCAAAAGTGGAGTATTGAGTTCTAAAAAGGTCGTTGTTAGCACCTTCAATCATTTCCAATTGTCATTACTCTATTAGTTTTTTTTTTTTTAACTTGATTGATGAGGCAATTAGGTACCTTTTAAATCCCTGTTACTCTGGTTGGCGGCTTAGTTTGCCTTTTAAATATTTTTAGTATCAAAAACGAATCCTTTGTGAGCAAGTAATTTAAAAATCAAAACAAAAATATGGTCGCTTGTAATATTCGCAGCAACGAAAAAACTGTACTCTATCGCCTCTTTGATGCTATATTTTATATAATAATTTTTGGTTGTGCCCTCTTGGGCCTCCGAAGTTTCACCAAATCTCAACTCATCTACAAGCTCTATGTCGGCAGTTGGATTCTCTTCATGTCGCTAATCATATTCTATACGCTGTTGTATGATGTGCATTCTATCGATTTAAACATGGGTAACCTCATGTATTTCGTACTCTATATTTCGCAAATGCTTGCACACCTTGCAGTTCTACTCGAATCGTTTCTCATGGATGCTGAATGCGAGCTTATCAGAAAGCTGTATGTAGAATTTGAAGCGCGTTTCAGTAAGGAATTGGCTGCGACCGACGAGTGTTGGCGTTATAAAACTCAAGGCTGGATCTTAACAATTCTAAGTTTTTTCACTGTGGTAGGCTCTACAGTCCACACCATACTTACGTGGACCGTCTATGCGGCACCCTTGACACAGAATTTACAACATTGGCATAATTTACCGAGCTGTTTGACGCTGCAATTTCGTATTTTGTATCTGATTATCGCCATAAGTACGTTCAATGAATTTGCTATTGTATTACGCATCAATCTGAATGAAATGGGTGAACGAAATATACAACGAGTTTTTGGTCCCTATCTACGTGGACGTGCCTTTGCAAAGGGAGGCATTATACGCGTTGCGCCGAAGACAAATCAGCCAAGTGAAGAAGAAGATGAGCGTCGACTGAGGGTCTACAAACAATTTTATGGCGATATTCATAATCTGTTTAAGTCTATTAACGAGCATTATGGGTGGTCCATACTGGTTTTTATGATTATGTACTTCATCTATTTCATCGTAAATTCCTACTGGGTTATTTTTTCACTGATAATACGACTTCCCGAGCATAATACTTTGATACGGAATTTGGGATTTTTAGTAATAGTGGTCGTACTACTGTGGGTACTGTGTTGGCAAAGTCAAAATAGTCATGAACAGGTGAGTGGTGGGTAGAGAAGGGGTAAAGGGCGTCGCACAGTGGTCAATAAATGGGATTTAATGTTCATAATTCACTGGAGCCTTCATTTCTCAACCGATTTGATTAGCTCTTAGCGACTTGCAACTTGTACTTTATTATACTAAAACTTAGTAATCTATAAAACTGCATACCCAAAATTTTTATAAAAACTAAAAACAAAAAAAATACTTTTGGTAACATTTTTTTTATAACATTTCAAATTATTACTTTCTAATTTTTTTGTTTGTTTTAGGAGAACCCTACAAAATGTTTTTAACTCGTTTTTATTATGAAACTTTTATTAGCTGGAACAGGAGAATCGGTATTCTTCAAAATTGGCGCAATTTCTGCACTTTGCACTAAAAAGTTTAATACAAACAAATAAAAATTCGAAAATTGGGCTCAACTAGTCTCTTGCAAATTTTATTAGCTTTCATTTAAAAAAATAACTAATCAAATCGGTTCAGAAATGAAGGCTCCAGTGAATTATTAACATTAAATTCCATTTATTGACCACTGTGCGTCGGTTTAAGAATAAAAAATTTAATAGGAATACAATACTTTAAAGCTAAGAAAAGCTTCGAGTCCGTTTTAGAGAAAAAGAAGGATTTTCCCAAAATGCAAAAAGTAGCAAAATTCAAGCTCGAAAAAACATATGTTTTTTTCACAAACTTATAACCTCCGAAAAAGCTTACAAACTTTCAAAGTTTCCTCAACTCTTTGCAGTTTACGGAAATATTCTAAATACGAATTGGATCTCAAAAGTCAATAAACATATCGAGCCCTAACCGCCAAAATAACGTAAGCGACATTTTTTTCGAAATTTTATTTTTGATGCAGAAATGCATCTAGATGCTCTAGGAATATTTCTGCATCAAAAAGAAAATTTTGAAAAAAATGTCGCTTACGTTATTTTGGCGGTTAGGGCTCGATATCTACATATTACTTAGAGCTTAAAGACATCTTTCTCATTCTAAAAAATATTCCATAGAAAACTTTAAAGCTCAGAAAAAATTTTAATCCATTTTAGAGAAATGCAAGCACTTACCAAAACTCGACAATATAAAATTGAAGCTCGAAAAAACATGTATTTCACGCACAATCTGAAAGTCTTAACAAAGTTTCAAAACCTTGAAAGTTTTCAAAGCTTTTTCCGGAAGCTCCAAAGCTTTTAAAGTGCTCCATATATTCAGTAATTCATATATCTAAGCTTATTTAGAGCTAAAAAAAAAACATTGTTTCTCATAATTCCTCTTTTTTAACTAACCTAAGATTTTTCTTTCTATCATCTCTCCATTTCAGAGTCGCCATATTGGCTGTATTATGTTCAAGCTCGTCAAACCACTGGGCAATAAGTGTTACAATGATTTGGTCACCGATTTTTCGTTGCAAACTTTACATCAACAATACATTATTACAGCAAAAGAATTCTTTAGCTTGAATCTCAATCTACTGGGCAGTGTAAGTATGCAATTGACGACTGCCTCACATCGGTATAGGTAATTAGAGCTAATTGTCCTTACAAATCTTAAAAAGATCCAACACGAGTTTTTTTTTGTTTGTTTATAAAATTGGATCAATTTTAGCGGTTTTCGTTAGCTCAGCGAAAAAATAACATATTGTTGTTTGGCGCTGAAATCGCTTTAAACTATTTTAATATTTAACTATTGATCCCAGGTGAGCTGCATTAGTGCTTTTCAGCTTTTAAAACATTACGAGAGTATGCAAAATTGATACTTCGTGCAAGTTTAACTTAGCTGAATACGAAAGCGAAAAGCTGAATTATAAATTTTATGTGCTAAGTAGTAGGGTTAAAATTTTAATTGTTTGTGAGCAGTTTCTGAAAAGCTGAATACGAAAAAGAACAACTGAATTGTAAAGCTTGTCTGCTACTAAGATAAAAATATGAATAGCTGGGTTTATGAATAGTTTGAAATAAGCTGAATACGGAAAAGAAAAGCTGAATTAAAAAACTTGGGTGCTACTAGGATAAAAATATAATTAACCAGGCTTATGAACAGTTTTAAAGGAATCATTATCATTAAAGCGCTGAATTAAAGTTATTGAATTTAAAAAGAAGTTAACAAGGAATAAAGCGATACATCGAGCAATAGAAAGCTAGCTGAATACGAAAAAAGAAGCTGAGTTAAATTATTTGTTAGTAAAAAAAGCATTTTACAACCACTTAAGCGATACATCGGTTAACATAATAATAAATTAGCTGAAAATTAAAAGAATTTAAATAGATAAGCAGAGCTGAATTGCAATTTTTGCATTTTAAAATCATTATACAAATGCTATAACAATACATCGATAAGTATAAAGTTAGCTGAATACGAAAAGAAGAAACTGAACTTAATTATTTTTACTAATATGCCTCAAAGAGGATCCAGTATGCGCTGAATCAAATTGATTGCGTTAAATTAGCGTTGCTGAATTTTAGAAATATTCCACAAAATGCCAAACTGGGCTTAACTTGAACTGAATGGTAAAATAAAGAGCTGAGTTTGTAAAATTTTTACACTAAAATGTTTCAAAAATGAACTCTTCAGTTTCTGTTGTGCTGAATTTATCAGAGGGGCGCTGAATACGTTATAACATTTAAATAGAAATCAAACTTATACACGAAATATCTTAAATTGTGCTGAATAAGAAAAATACGAGCTGGAGAAATTTTCGTACTAAAATGCTGCAAAGATGTACGATTTAGTTATTAAAACATTTGGCGTTGAGCTGAATTAGTAAAAGAGGCGCCGAATAAGTTATTAAAATCATCGAGCATTCTGAATATCAAAAAGAAGAGTTGTTCTACAAAATTTTTGCATTAAATTGCTACAAAAATGTGTTTGAAAGTTTATGATACAGTTTGGGAGGTACTAAATTCTGAAAACTTCTATGCTCAGTACTAATTCTAACAGACAATTTAATACTTTATTGCCTTTAAGATGTTGAGTGCCTGCCTATTTTGTTTGGAATTATTCAATTTAAGTCACTTTGACTTTCTTTTGTTAAACTCCAATATTACTTTGAATTGCGCTAGGCATTTTTTATTTTATTTTAATTTTGTCGGTTCCAAAACGTACCTAAACAAGCTATTAAATATTTTTTCTCACTCTCAACTTTTCTCGACATTATAGTATCTGAATTGTTTTTTTTTTATACAGCCATCTCGCACCGTTTTATTTATTTATATAATATATAATATTTACTCAATTGCAGTTATAAAAATTTGTAAATTTTCTAGATGGTTGCGTCCATTGTCACTTATTTGGTCATACTCATCCAGTTCATGTTCATGAATAGATCTAACCAAAATCCGATGGTGCATTCTGGAAATTCTACTGTGAGTACACTCAACTAGAGAAAGCTGTGAGCATTTGAAATATCGGAAGTATTCGAATATTTAAGTATATTATACTTATTATGTACCTTAAATTTTAAGCACCACTTTAATAAAAACCTGCACCAGATCCGAAAATTGTAGTATTTTTATTACAAATTCATATACCGGTAAATCCACGTCGAGTTTGTAGTTGACTAGAGCGGGAAAGCCAGTAATGGAGGTAAACTCCAACAGCGGCAATCCCGTAGAAGGGAAGAATGATGAGACTGAGGCATCCACGGCGATCCATTGAAATATTTTCTCAAGTGTGTTTTTTAGTGGCTTATAACAGTGGCCCTGCGCAGATCGGATAGGCGGTCCTTGTAACCGAGTGGCAAAGGTTCGATGCCTGGTTCGAGCAATTAAAAGAAGTTGTTTCCAATAGCGTTCGTCCTCAGCAGGCAATTACGAACCTTCTTCGTGCTCTGTTTTTTGAACTCTTCGCAATTTTTTCCGACCATTTGGAAATTTACGAGATTTTTTTCGAAACTATTTGGGACTTTTTTAGGGATCTCATTGGAACCTTTTGGGGGAATTTTCGGTATTTTTTCGAAATCGTTCGGAATTTTATCGGGACCATTTGAAAAGTTTTTGCAACTTTTCAGGATTTTTTCGGAGTATTTGAGTTTTTCGGAAATCTTCGATGCTTTTTGCGATTTTTTCGGAGTTCTTAAAAAAATTGCGGATTTTTTTCGGGAACTTTCAGAAAATCTCTGGACGCTTCGAAAATGTTTAGAATCTTGTATGTACTTTAAATCCTAATTTCGCTACATATGTTTATACAAAAAATATAAATTAAAAACTATCGGTTTTTCGTGCAAAAGTTTTTCCATTTTTTTTTATTGCTTATTGGTACGGAGTTTGAAATTAGATCGTATTTTATAACATACACACATACATATGCATATACATATCCTCGTACAAATGTACCATGTAGTTATTCCGGCACCCCGTTTTATTATTTTATAGCCACGACCTTTTAATTCTCATTTAAGTACCACCCGTTGTATTGCTTAAGAATTTGAATGAAGATATTTTCTTCCTGATAACTTCCTCGCTGAGTAAAAATTGAACAAGTATAACCAGGTGTGTAACTATTAAAGCGATCATCTAAAACACAAAACAAAATTATTAAAGTTTTTTTTAAAAATATACATACATCATTGCAGCACGAAAGTTGTTTCTATTTTATTTAACGTACTACGTCTTTACAACCACAAACCTTAATTAGTCTATATTAAAATGATATGCTGCCATAGGATTGCATGTGTTTGAGAGGTATTCTCTAAGTCTTGAAAAAACATTTCACGGCGCACAGATTGCATGATTTGTAAAGTTTTCCGATAGGAAAACCGGTTTTACAAGACTTCAAGAATACCTCTATGTATTATATTTAAGTGGAAGGACATTAGCTGACTCCGTGAGCACTATTTATTATAAACTTCATTTCACCGACGAGACATGCGACTTGACCTACTGTTATTATTTGCGATTCTACATAATTTAAATATTTCTCGGGATGGCGAAGGTTACTACACTAGGAAATACAGTGCGTATACGCAACATTTTTCACCTACGAACTTATGCCGATTTCGTTTCTATCGAAAAATGCAACCTTCTCTTTGCCCTCTACGCACAAACACTAAGAAGAGGGCGATGACAAAAGACAACATTTTTTGGTAGAAACGAAAACACCATTAAAGTTGGAATATAGGTAAGCTGCAGTGAGAAACACGTTTGCAAAAGGCGAATGAAATCTCTCTTCAAATGACACTTAACGTATCTCAGGCACTAAAGAGAAGCATGATGGGAAGAATATCCCTAATTAGTGACTGTGAAACCAACTCTGGTTCAGAATTTGGAGTCCATATCAAAGTACTTGTGGACAAGCTTCACTTTCTTTTAGAAAATGTACCTTACTAAATATGCTAAGTAGAGGTAATTGCAGCCGCAAGTCCGTGGACAACATCGTAGGCACTATGAGTACACGAAGTTAAAACATGGAACATTACGCTAATAACTACTTCAAAACAAGAGCAATTATATTGGCGAACATAATGTTTTTGAAGTGAAACTTCTTTAGCGGCGTTTGGTTGGTTGGGAGTAAATTGGCAATTCAACGGAAATTGCACACGGATATGGTGCAACGGAAATGGGTGGGGCTGAAACAATTGCTTCTTGAGTGTATGCACATGTTATTAATTCAACAAAAACTTGCTAGTAAAAGGTTAAAGAATAACACTTAGGAAAATACCAATACAATAATGAAAGTAAAGGTGAGAACGTACATAGATGAAGAAAAGGAAAAGGCAAAAGTAAAAATAAAAACGAAAACAAGGATGCGTAAAGATAAGGCAAAAATGAAGACCAAGGTAAATTCAAACACTTTACTTATATAAGGACAAGGGTAAAGGGGAATATGTAGATGAAGAAAATGATAAATATAAATTAAAAGCCAAGATAAATATAAAGAAAACGATGAGGATGAGGATACCGATAAAAGTAAAGATGAAGATAGAGGACTAAAGAGTAAAATAAAGGTAATTATAGAAACAAGTAATTTTTAGCAAAAAAAAAACCGACTTCAACTCCCATATAAAAAAAATATATATATATATATCTCATGATCCGCTGATCGGATCTTAACCAGATTAGTATGGGACCACCTCTGAGACACTACCTTTCCGATGCAAAAAGAATTATCGAAATCGGTTGACGTGGTCCAAAGTTATGCGGTAACATACATAAAAAAAAAAAAAAAAAAAAAAGATTCCGACGAACTGATAACCTCCTCCTTTTTTGGAAGTCGGTTAAAAAGGATATAGATGGAGACACAGAGACTCAAAATGGTAACTATTTGTTTTGGGATTTTAGAGATTTTCGGGATTCTCGGGACTTATCGACATATTAATCGATTTTGTTATCGAAATTTTTTATCGATATTGTTTTCGATTTGCTATCGGTATTTTCGGAAGTTATCGATATCATAATCGATATTTTTATCGATTTTGTAAGCGATATTTTTAACGATTTTGTTATCGATATTGTTACTGGTTTTGTTATCGATATTATTATTGATCTTGTTATCGATATTTCTATCGTATTTCTTATTGATATTTTTATTGATTTTGTTATCGATATTGTTATCGATTATATATGTATTTGTTACCGATTATTTATCTACTTTGTTGTCGATTATTAATCGATTTTGTTATCGAAATTTTTATCGATTTTTGTTATCCATTTCGTTATCGATTATTTGTCGGTTTTGTTATCGATATTTTATATCGATTTTCAAATCGATTTTGCTACCAATATTTTTAACGATATTGCTATCAAAATTTTTAACGAATTTGTCATCGATTTTGCTATCGATTACTTGTCGATTGTGTTATCGATATTTCTGTCGATTTTGATATCGATATTTTTATCGATTTTCTAATCGATTTTTTTCGATATCTTTATCGATTTTGTTATCGATATATTTATTGATTTTGTTATCGATATTTTTTCGATATTTTCTTATCGATTTTGTTACCAACATTATTATAGATTATGCTATCGAAATCTTCATCGAATTTGTCATCGATATTTTTATCGGATGTTACCATCGATTTTTTATCGATAAAATATAAAGATAAAAATTAAGATAAAGGAAAACAGAATAACATAAATGTAATTAGAACGAACAGAGGTAGAGGTAGGGATCTAGATAGAAAAAATATAACCCTAAGCAAAAGCAGATGTATGTATGACACAAAATAGATATGTAACATAGGTTCCCCAATGTAACCCAGGCGCACTTACTTTTTTTATTCTATAGTAAGTACTTAGTTTCTGATAATGAAGTTACTAACTTCCAGGTCACAGGTAGATTGCCGCTTACAAAATATGTGTGTGTTTGGCCGAGCTTGTCCTCGAATTTTTGGCGTGCGCTTTAATGTTGTCACACAAAGGGAAGGGACCTACAGTTTTACGCCGATTCGCCGAACGGCGATTGTATTTTTATCGGAAGCTGTTTTTTTGCGAAGTGCGGAAAAATATATTGCGAAGTGTGTGTTGCAGCGCAGTCTTAAGGCCAAGTCACACGATTGGGGCATTTGTACAGATTGTACATTTTGGCAGTCACAGAGTGGTGTTGTGTAAAAATTTTGATCGAGAATGAGTTCAGCTCAATAAAACAATGTCCAATTTTGCCGAACATGTGATGGCAGCAATACGGCACTACGAGCCACTCAGTCGACGGAATGTTATCAGATTCTAGTCTCAAGAGAAAAGTAAGGCGAACACTGCTTTTTAAGTTGCCTTTCGGTTGCCAACTGAACGTTGTTTATACGCCGAAGACCTTTAAGTCTTTATACTAAGGCACATACATACATATAACTCACTTGTCTAGAGAAAAAATTTGTTGGCAGACAAGCTAGCAGTAATTTTACTTAATAGCAATAGAAACTATCTCCTCAGTGCCAAAAAATGAGCGCCAAATATAAGTATATCCGCGGACTATCGGGAAGTAAGAATAATTTCATGGACAAACAGTTACACACGTAGTACCCTTTATTCATCTCATGAATAATGTAATCGGTGACTGACCTTAAAATTTTACAGACAAAAAGCTAGAGTGGTCTTGTGAAACTCATTTTACGCTCGATACGTTACGTGCTTGACGTGATAGTACTCAAAGCATCTACTCATTTTACATCGCTTTGGGGAACTTTTCCGAATCTTAGTTGCAAATTAAATTTCACAAAGGCAGACCTACGAATATGTGCGTACTTCTTATGTTACGTGCTACCTTATGAGTACTTACATCTCCCAGCAGCGATAGATTCAAGTTGAAAAATCCTTTCACGCTGATTCCAAATCCCTGATGTAGACATTGCAGCGCAATATTGGAGACAAGATCATTGTAAACTTTGTTGCCTAGCGGCTTTGGTAGCTTGAATATGAGACCGCTTATCAGCATATGCTGTACAGAAGAGATAATAAAATCCATTTTCT